TACAAATTTATTTTCTTACGCCATCCAGTTTAGATTCAGATTAATTTTAAAACTTTATCGTCAATGTTTGCAAGTTGAAAAGCGTTGTTGCCCGTATTACCACCCTCGCTCTCAACTTGTCAGGCAACAAATTTCGATGTTGCAAGTTGTGGCAACATGTTGCGCAAAGTAGACCTGAGTTCTACTTTTTGCAACAAACTTCCAATTTTATCATTTGCATCACAACTTGCTACACTTCACAACACTTGTGATTGGTCAATTTTGCCGCACCAAAAACGCGGGAAAGATGGTGAGGAAGCGGGCGCTTGACCGTGGGCATATCCCTGGGCACGAAGTAAACATGGCTAAGGTTGTGGTGGTTGGGAATGTTGAGACCCAAGATTGTTAATTTATTAGTGAAAAAATGTCAGAGGCCCAAAGAAAAGATTTGTGCAAAGAACTTGAAAGCACACATGTCTATGGGAAACTTGTCGACCAGAGTATAAAAACAAGCCACGGAGGTCAAGAGCTCTGGATGAGTTATGTCAAAAAATTAACATTTCACCAAACTGTCTTGAATAAAAAGTTACATAGCCTTAGAAGGGTCTTAGAACGGCATTGACAAGGGATTTAATAAAAAAAATAAACAGAAGGTCAACAAGCCATTTTGTTTGCTGACATAAAAACACACTGTTGACCAATCACAACGCATGATTTTTTTTAAAGAGCCGCAACTTGCAACATCAAAATTTGTTGCGTGACAAGTTGAGAGCGAAGATGGTAATACGGGCAACAGCCCTTTTCAACTTGCAACGCAACAATGTTGCGCGACAAGTTGTGCGAAAATGTTGCTCGTATTACTTAACCTTTAGTTCTAACGTATTTATAAACGTGTTGCTGACAATGATGGGCACGTGTGCGAAGTGAGACGCAGGAACTTGACTGATGACGGCCATGGTGTATTTAGGGACAACGGGTGAGAGTAACTTGTCAAATTTTTATATACCCATATTCATACAAAAAATGACGCCTCCCCTGGAACTAGTAGGTGCTGATCTATTGCCAGTTGCATAAACATAATAAATGCAAAAAAGATCATCGCACTTAACGACGCAATTAAAGGTGCCTTCCAGTCCGTACTGCGCAGGCTCAACGGTTTGTTTTGGGTTTTTGTTTTGAAAAGTACTTACTTCAAGTAAGACTTCATCAAATGTACCAATTCGTGAAGTTTTAGATGACGTGAAATAATGTCGTTTTTCTCCCGCCATCATGGATATAAACTTTGCTCTCGATGAAATTAATCGAGGAAAGAGACATCGAAGTGGCCGCACAGCCAGGACGCGATTATTTCTCGATGTGTACATGCAATAAATACTTACCGCTTTAAGAAAAAAGGACTCATTTTCCGATACCTATCTCTTTTTCTACCATCATCTATTCTCATCTCGTGCTATTTTCCCCTTTCGAAATTCCGCTTTTCACCGAGACATGAAGCAACTAGCTGTGATTTACCCGTCATTATGGCACAGCGATTTGTTGATTACAAGTCGTTTATAGGCCAATTAGCACTATAAATCCGGCATTAATTTTTAATCCGGGTTTCTTTTAATTTCTTTTGTTCAAAAGTGTTTTCTCGAAAATTTTATACTTTATACTCTATACTTTCTAGAGCATACAATCATTAATTTGTAGAGAAAAGGAATGAAACTGAATTTGCTTTTCAAGAAATTCTAAATTCCACTTTCGCCCAAACCCAGGGTTACCTTACCCAGCTTTGACACAGGTTTTTCTTTTTTGATGCACGAATACAAATAGACATAAAACGTGCATCTAAATTAATTATGGATTCGCTTGTAACAAATCTACCGAAGATTGCAGCCAGTATTGGTCTACTTACAATTAGAAGGCATTACATGCTTGGGATTTTGCAACACTTGACATCATTTTGGGCAAGATGAAGATGGCTTTCAACTCAACTTAGTTGAATTTTTTTCTCGGGGATCAACACCACTGCACTGATTGGTGCAAGGAAAATAACCTACGCACATTGTCCATTATCCGTCAATGTCTTTGAAATGCCCATGAAGAGGTTCTCACAAGGCGGAGAAATTGCTTGTTCCTAGTCAAATTCTTCCAATGGCACCGAGGTGAAGAACGAGAATGATACTCAAATCGAATCAGGTTGCACCCGGAGACGGGGAAGAAGAGGAAGGAGGCCCTATGGACAGGGTCCCACAACCTAGAGAGGCCAATCAGTTAATGGAGGTCGAAGGAGAGGTGTGCGAGGCATAAGAGGAAGAGAGGTAGAGTCAGTATAGGGAGGGTTGCTTGTGGAGGGTTAATATGAAGTGGACGTGGGAGAGGGCTCTGGAAGAGAGCACGCGAAGGGAGAATTGGTGTGGTAGAAGAGGATGCAGAACGAAGACAGGCTAGAGTCCCGGGGCGGTACTCGACCAGTATTAGAGTATAGTTGAGCCGCTGAAGGTTTGAAACCCTGACCCTGTTTAAGACAAAAAATTCCCAAAATACATACGCTATTTGGGACAACAACTTTTATTCTATTACCCTGTTTAGGAAAAAGGACAGAACGCACGCAAGAGCAAATTCACGTTATATTAAAGTCATTGCTTTTTTATAATTGGAATATAAATAAAAAAAAATTCCAAATCGATGGTGCAGGCAATACCCGAGGCAATACACTATTGACAGAGTCACGCGAAATTATATACTTTTTAGGACAGAGAGGTCAAAAACCATACCCCGTTCAGCAGTACTGATCCCCTTATAGGCCATATAAGGGAGTACCCCTCCCCTGGGGCTAGAGTCAACCAATAAATCCAAGTAAGTTTATTTCCTCCTTTCATGTAACAAGTAAAAAAGTACAGTCAAAGCCCCCATGATACTGAATCTTCAATTTTTCAAATTACACCAAAAGGGCATTAATTTAACTGGTGTTTACTGATAGATATGTTGTTGTTGCTGTTGACGGAAGACTGTTGGTACTGTCTCTCATTTAAATGAGTGCTATTAAGGTGACTCGATCCAGTTATTTTGTGAGGGTACCATCCTACGTTGAAGCTCTTTGGTATCCCCACCTTTACTTTGATCGTAAGTCTAACGTATAGTATAGATAACATATAAATCAATCTACAATATAGCATAAAATTGTTCGCGATTCGAGTAAATGTCACGTGGTTATAATGCCACGCCTCTTTGGGGTCTGAGTCGAAATTCTGCTGCAATGACCGCGCTTGGCTGACTTCCGAATGCTCACCGAGATATGATAATTTAGTATGAGAAAGTAGAAGGGATTCCCGTCACGTAACGTCTCCAGCCAGCTGAGTGTACATCATGCCAAGAATTAAAACTATGTAAAAATGATATTTTTTCAATAGTAAGTAGATTTAGTGTGTAGCATTTCTCGATTTTTTTGCAAAGGCACAAGAAGCACGAGAATTGATTAAAAATCGTGGGTTAAACCTCTATGATCACGCGATCGCCTGTCTCACCGTACCAAAATTATCATATCTCGGTAAGCATTCGGAAGTCAGACAAGCGAGGTCATTGCACGCGTGCTGATCAAGAATGCTGTATCATTACAGACTAGAAACAATAGAAAACTATTTCTCAAAGCTTGTTCCATGAGTGTGTCCTTCACAGACCCTGTGCAGTTGACAACACTCAGGTTAGTCTCTCACCACATCTTCACTTTTCGTAAGAAGTCGCACGCGAGCGGCACGCGAGAGGGGCGCGATCAATACACGAAAGGATCCGCGAGAACAAGGGGTGGGGAAGGTTTTCTTTAGGGCGGATGTGATTTTCTCCTTTCCTCAGCTCCTCGCTGCTTTGCCACTCGCTCGCTCGTTCTCTTGCGGTTTGCTTTCTCTCGCGTTGGAAACTGTAAATGACTTGCTAGCATGCTAGGTGTTGTCAATCCCTTATCCTGCTAAACTGGACGAAATGCCGCTTAAAAAGTCTACTTACGCAAAATATTTTATATCTCAAATTGTCCTTGCCAACAAGCAAACCGACTGTGCCAGCTTAGAATAGAAAAGGACATACCAAAGTAAGACAATTCAGTGGCAAAATGGAAAAAAATCAGGCGCGGATCAAGAATTAATTACTGACCGATTTCCTACTTCTAGGGAGGTCTTGGGGCATGGTTCCCCGGGAATATTTTTGGATTTTAACTCCCCAAAGTCCCCTTTCCTGGGTTTCTGAGTCACTCAGAAAGGATATTAACTCAATGTCCAAACCATTTTCCATATTTCAACTTGGAAAGTTTAAGGTTTTTAACTAAAGAATATCTATTATGAAAAATATCACCGATTTCCGTAAAACGCGGTGAAACCGGTGTGGATCCGGGCCTGGAAATCAACAGAGGAGTCAAGCAACAGCCGTGGACAGCTGCTTTGCACTTATTAAAATTCATCAGCACAGCCTAGCTGGAAGCTGTTACAAAACAGATCTAATCAGACACAATATGTACAAATGGCAAGCAATGAAACAAAGCTAATTATGTTACCAATTCAGTTCATTCTACTTTTATTTCAAGTGCAGTAATATTTTTGGAATTCAATCTTTTTTACTATTTTCAAGTTGTATATATTAAGTTACTTTCAAATTTTCAGAAATTTTGAATATTTTGTTGGTGAGCGCTCTATAGAGAAAACAGGTGATTTACCACTTTTTTGCCGACAATTGAAAACTTTGTAGACCTCTATGATTGTCAAACTGTTGCGTTTGTTAAGTGTTCTGTCAGTTGGCCAGTTATGTAAATTATCCATTTTGTCTTTTTTTTTTTTTTACATTTATTCAAAGTCATTTGTGGAAAAATAACCATCATCACCGAACCTCGTTGGTCGCTACAAGTCTGTTTCTCATGCAACATTAAATAAAGAGTTTCCATTGACCAAGAGATGACAAATCAGACAAATAAATCAACCATCACTCACCCGGACGATAAGTCCTTTTCTTCGGCACAAGTCATCGCTTGGAGTTGTACTCTTGCGACTGAAGCTGTTGTTATTGTCGTGGGAAACTTGCTCATAATTATACTTTTTGCACGGCTTAACAAGAAGCTACGATCTAAAAGTTTATATCTTGTTTTGAATATGGCATTTGCTGATCTGTTTCTGGGAGGTGTATGTCTCCCTATGTATGTTTATTTCCTGGCTCATGGTCAGGTTAAAGTTGATGAAAAAACTCCAACGTTTTTTACAATAATTTTCTTCGTCTTCGCACAGGCATCATTCATTACCGCTGCTTTGATATCTTGTGAGAGATTTTACGCCATCTATTGGCCGCTGAAGCACCGGCAGACACTTTCTACGCGAACATACAGGCTCGTTATTTTGACAGTGTGGACATTAAGTATCCTTGGGTCTCTTTTTATAGTTTTTCTCCTGCAATTCGTAAGCCTGGTGGCTCTCAATTCTTTAGTGTGTTTAATCTTCGTGTCTGTACTTCTAATCATCAGCGGCCTGAATTTTGGTCTTTGGAGAAAGATTCAGAAACAACCTGTTCCTCATCACCAAAACAGAGCCTNTTCTGTCAGTTGGCCAGTTATGTAAATTATCCATTTTGTCTTTTTTTTTTTTTTACATTTATTCAAAGTCATTTGTGGAAAAATAACCATCATCACCGAACCTCGTTGGTCGCTACAAGTCTGTTTCTCATGCAACATTAAATAAAGAGTTTCCATTGACCAAGAGATGACAAATCAGACAAATAAATCAACCATCACTCACCCGGACGATAAGTCCTTTTCTTCGGCACAAGTCATCGCTTGGAGTTGTACTCTTGCGACTGAAGCTGTTGTTATTGTCGTGGGAAACTTGCTCATAATTATACTTTTTGCACGGCTTAACAAGAAGCTACGATCTAAAAGTTTATATCTTGTTTTGAATATGGCATTTGCTGATCTGTTTCTGGGAGGTGTATGTCTCCCTATGTATGTTTATTTCCTGGCTCATGGTCAGGTTAAAGTTGATGAAAAAACTCCAACGTTTTTTACAATAATTTTCTTCGTCTTCGCACAGGCATCATTCATTACCGCTGCTTTGATATCTTGTGAGAGATTTTACGCCATCTATTGGCCGCTGAAGCACCGGCAGACACTTTCTACGCGAACATACAGGCTCGTTATTTTGACAGTGTGGACATTAAGTATCCTTGGGTCTCTTTTTATAGTTTTTCTCCTGCAATTCGTAAGCCTGGTGGCTCTCAATTCTTTAGTGTGTTTAATCTTCGTGTCTGTACTTCTAATCATCAGCGGCCTGAATTTTGGTCTTTGGAGAAAGATTCAGAAACAACCTGTTCCTCATCACCAAAACAGAGCCTTACAAAGGCGACGCTTAACAAAGACCTTGTTATTAGTATCTCTCATCGCCTTGGGTTCTTGGCTTCCACCTTTTATTTATTCCTTGATATCCCTTCTTGGATATAGGATGTCTAACAACATTTCCCTCATAACGTACTTTACCTATTTCTCCAACTCCTTTATCAATCCAATAGTGTACGCACTAAGAATTCCTGATTTTAGAGAGGCTCTCAGATTATGCTGTTTCACAAAACACGAAGTGATGAAGAGCGAAGAAAATGCAGCAGGGGATGAGATGGCTGCAGATTTGACGCTAGTGATACAGAGACAAACATTGACAGTGGATCACAGTATTTTACAGCTCACTTTTGAACAAGAAATTGTACAAGATACAAAATTGTGATATACAACGGAAGAGCAACAAAAAATGGTAAAAAAGCATCATGGTTAGTCAGGACGTGGCCCGAAGAAAACAATATGGTGCCGAATTCATTTGATAACTGAATAATACTTGAGGCGAACTTCAGCTGAGCTTTGTGATCCATTTTACCTTGAACACTTTAATCATTTTTTGGCTCCTTCCCTTTTCCCGTCTGTTAGCTAGGCGATAGATTAAACCGATTTACATGTATAAACATGGCTTTAACCCTTACAAACATACCAAAAAGCGTGTTTTATTCGTTAAGAACAAATGAAGGAATATTGTTGGTTGTGCAGACAAACAGTGATGATGACAATGATTGAAAAAAACTCGTGGCAAGGGAGAAAATATCCTAATTCACTGGACATTCCGAAGGGGAGTAGCGGAGAAAGGGATCGGACCAATAAACCCTTTTTACATCCACTGATGTTGTTACCTCTGCGTACGTACCTGCGTCCCATAAGACGCAAAGATTCAACTCAACTCAACTTCAACTTTATTCATTCACTTTCAATTTACAATTATACGATAGCTTCCACCCGTGTATAGGAGAGCCTAATCGAGGCGGGGGAAGAGACACACAAATTTAAAGAAAGAAAAGAAAAAAAGAACTATTTTACAAACAGAACCAACTGTCGCAAAATAACAACTATAGTATGTATTAAGCTAATTTAATTGCATTATGATTTACACAGAGAATATAAATTTAGTTGTGTTCCTGAGCTAGTTAAATTTAAGTTGATGCATGATTTCAGTGATTTCAAGATAGTCATCAGAT